TACCGAAGCCATGAGTTTCAGGATCTACCTTTGAATACTGTACATCTGGAAGTCTTTTGTGAGAGTACATGATAAATACGGACACTTAATTACAAAGAGAATTGATTAAACCCATGCATGTTCCTTGTTGACTACATGTCATCTGTATTATATGGAGAAGATCTGAATGCTTAATTATTCCATTTTTTTATGGCTATCTGGAGCTCTTTAACTGTTTCCTTACTGAAAATTCTTTAGGAAAGGATGAATACGGAGGGGAAACATTAGGTGAACTTGGGAAATCTCTTTATGTTGTAAATCAGCATGTATCTGCATTCTTGCTGCACAAACAGGAATTATTTCTTAGCAAGATTTGGGAAAAATGCAATTAAATAAAGACCTCACTGTTCAAAAACCTTCCCATGACAAAAATTCTACTGGGTGGCATAATAGGAAATATGAAACGATAGACCTTGATTATGTGGTTTTCGGGAAAGCCCTGCTGCAAGCTGTAAATGTTTGATCGCTTTACCACATACGATATAAAGAGCTGAAGTTTGATTACAGCTGCATCAACACAAATTGGAATAGGGGATTGAAAGTTGTGATTAGCTCTGGAAAAGCTACATAATATTTATGCAAATTTGGCAAATTGAGTTGGTTTTCCCTATAGCCCTATGAATGAAAAAGACATTTTAGAAAAATCATGGGGCTATAGAAATTCTATGATTTTCCATCCCATTCTTTAAAACTTAATAGAAAATGAATCTTCATTGCAAGGTACACAGGGACTTGAGGCAAAAGGTTCATTTTAACAGGAATGAACTCCACACAGGCAGTGGCAATTCCTGGGATATTCTGAAGTTGGTGCTATATTAATTTCTACTGTAGGAGCTAAATTGTGAAGTTATTGAACAGAGAGAGAACTTATCTCCACTAATGGCCATTCAGAGATTATTTTTAAAAATATACTCCATAGTTTAAAGCCTTAATATAGAGGATCTTGAATCTGTTATAGGAATTAAATCAAATACAGTTGGCAGCTTTTATTTTTTTCCTCCTGCTTTGAATATGTAAGTCAAATTGTCCAGTTAATCATGCATAATAACTAACAACCTCAAGAAGTTCTCGCAAGCAAGCTCAGGAAGTACAGGTTGGATGAATGGACTGTGGATAGAATGGACTGTGGAGGTGGATAGAAAGCTGGCTGGATTGTCGGACTCAAAGGGTAGTAATCAATGGCTCAATATCTAGCTGGCAGCCGGTATCAAGTGGAGTGCCCCAGGGGTCAGTGCTGGGGCCGGTTCTGTTCAATGTCTTCATCAACGACCTGGAAGATGGGATGCAGTGCACCCTCAGCAAGTGTGCAGATGACACCAAGCTGGGGGGAGTAGTAGATACGCTGGAGGGTAGGGCTAGGATTCAGAGCGACCTAAACAAATTGGAGGATTGGGCCAAAAGAAATCTCATGAGGCTCAACAAGGACAAATGCGAAGTCTTGCACTTGGGAAGGAGCAATCCCCTGCACCGGTGCAGGCTGAGCATGACGGGCTGGGCAGCAGCTCTGCAGAAAAGGACCTGGGGGTGACAGTGGACAAGAAGCTGAACAGGAGCCAGCAGTGCGCCCTGGTTGCCAAGAAGGCGAACGGCATCCTGGGCTGTGCTATTAGGAGAGTTGCCAGCAGGTCAAGGGAAGTGAGGCCACATCTGGAGTCCTGTGTCCAGTTGTGGGCCTCCCAATACAGAAAGGATGTGGATACATTGGAAAGAGTCCAGTGGAGGACAACGAAAATGGTTCAGGGGCTGGGGAACTTCTGAGGAGAGGCTGAGGGAATGGACATTATTTAGCCTGCAGAAGAGAAGACCAAGGGGGAATGAATAGCAGCCTTCAGCTCCCTGCAGCGGGGGGGCAAAGAGGATGGAGCTGGGCTGTTCTCAGTGGGGGCAGATACAGGACAAGGAGCAATGGGCTCAAGTTGCAGCAAGGGAGGTTGAGGTTGGATATTAGGAAAAACTTTCTAATGAGGAGGGTGGTGAAGCACTGGAACGGGTTACCCAGAGAGGTGGTGGACTTTCCATCCTTGGAGATTTTTAAGACCCAGCTTGACAAAGCCTTGGCTGGGATGATATATTTGGGGTTGGTCCTGCTTGGAGCAGGGGGTTGAACTAGCTGTGACCTCCTAAGGGCCTTTCTAACTCTAATTTTTCTATGATTCTCAGTTGTGAACCAGGTGTGGAAGTCAGTATCCTACAAGCGATGTTAATGCACAGTTGTGCATAGAAAGTTATTTATGCGCAGTTGGACGTGACACGCAGGGACCTGTCATTGCTTTGGTGTTGATGTGTTGGATAGTGGAGACAAGGCAATGCAGCCGTGCGAAGTGGGAGACTTCCAAGGATTTCCAGTCTTTTCTGCCCTTCCTGTGACTGAAGCATAAGAGTTATAGTATGGGACAGATTGCGGACCAGGCAGCAAGTCGGAAATGCCAACCACAGTGCATCTCCCCGGCAGCACGGGTTACCATCGACACATCCGACCTGTCCACCATTCTTTGCACTGATTTCACATGTAATTTTTAACTGAGGCCCTTGGGCCCAGGATATTTGAAATGCTGTCTGAAATTCTGAAATGAAGCCTGGAAACAAGGACTCCATTTGAGCACAGCTGAGGTCTCCAAAGCAAGTGTAAAGTTTGCTGTGCAGGAGGGAGTTTTCTAACTTGCAGGTGAAGCAGGTGGTTAAAATATGCTTAAGAGATCATACAAATAGAGCAGCGGGGCTGGAAGGGACCTCCGGCGATCACATCTAGTACAGCCACCCGCCTGAGGCAGGATCAGCTCTGTCCAAACCACCCCGTATGCTCCATCATCCCAACTCTGCCTAAAACAGCCCCGCCACAACACACACCCAACACCCAAACCTGCCACAGGGAAATCGTGTCGCACACACGTGTGTACTAGAGGTGGGCAGGGGGAGACGAAAAGAAGCCAACCTAGAGACAAATTGAAGAGATGTGATGTGAGATCTGAGAACATGACTGGTATATGATAGATTATGGATACTGGCAACCCCTGCTTAACGCTGCTTCACTATAAGGCTCATTTTAAACTGATACTTGACTCCACCTGGTGCTCAGCGAGTTTCGTTACAGTGCTCCCCGTCGCCATCTTGGGTTGTCAAAACCTTTCCATTGCGCTTGCCCCTCATTTTGCTGAACACTTGGTTTTTCAGGAACCAAATACGAGTGCTAAGTGGGGGTTGCCTGTATGTTAGATGTTAGAGCAGAGGTTTTCAACCTCTTCTTTTTTTCATTTGCAGACCCCTAAAAAGTTTCCAATGGAGGTGCGGACCCCTTTGAACGGGAAGTGCGGGCATTCATGCATTTCGATTGATCATGGCCATCTTTCGTGGACCACGTCTGCGGCCCACGGGTTGTAAACCGCCACGTTCGATGATGGATGAACTGTTATCTGATAGATTACAGGGGTGTTGGTCTAAGGACACAGGCAGACAAGGTTCTTTGGATAAATCCGATATCTTTTATTAGACAACTTAAGTAGCTGGAAAATGATACCATTTTATCATATCGTTTTATCACATTATTTTAACTCAAAGTTATACTCAAATAGTTGGAAAAGGATATGATTTTATCATACCATATATCGTATGACAGATTATGAACGTGTTACATGACGGATTATACGAGGGCTGTTCAAAAAGTATCGAGACGGGTGCTGTAGGAAGCCAAATATTTTATTTCCAGGGTTTCGGCTTCATCTCCTTCGAAGTCTGCTCCTTCTGCGGCTGTGCACTTCCCCCCGCCTCTCTGCCGCTGGGGGAGCCCCTCTGATGAGCGCTTTGTAGAATCCCTAAAAGCTGCTCCGTCGCGTTTGGTTTTATGGTTTCCACGTCACAAAATCTTCTTCCTTCAAGGCTTTCTTTAGTTGAGGGAAGACAAAAAAGTTGCACCGTATCCCACAAGTGCCGCAGCCTCCTGATACGGCCCCATGCGACCCTTCAATAAAGAAAGGAAGAAGATTTTGTGACGTGGAAACCACTAAACAAAACGCGGAGCAGCTTTTAGCGATTTCCACAAATTGCTCATCAGAGGGGCTTCTGACAAGGGCAGAAAACCTGGGAGAAGCGCGCGGCTGCAGGAGGAGCGGACTTCCAAGGAGATGAAGCCGCAACCCCTGGAAATAAAAATATTTGGTTTCCTACAGCGTCCGTCTGGATACTTTTTGAACAGCTCGCGTCTGAGGACTGTGCAGGTGGTCCTGCCACTGAGGACACACTTGGTAGGGACAAGTCGAAACATTGTAACTCGGAACCCATTGTCCCGTAGGAAACAAGGTTACAACGGGGGGAGCCAAGGCCCCCAAGCTCTGTTTGCACCAGAAACAACCCAGAATTTGTACTCCATCAACTACAAACGAGTGGCACAGCTACAGGAATGCATTTCTATTGTAAACAGCAGTGCTGTGGACTTGGAAGGACTTCCTGGAGGTGACTTTGCAGCACCTTTTCTGCAGGGCTCTTGCCTGGAGTCGTCTCAGGCGTCCCGGCTGCTTCCTTAAAGACAGCGTGCCGGCGCGGCGGGCTCGTCCGCGGGTGCGGGGTCAGGCCGGCCCGGGGCGCTAGCGCCGTTCCTGGCGGCTCCGGAGGCGCGGCGTGGGCGGAGCGGGTCCCAAGCATCGCAGCCCGGCTGCGGGCCCGGAGGAGGAGGCGGGGATGGAGGGAGGGAGGGAGC